CGGCTTGTTTACAACGTAACAGGGCCGCTTCAACACACCAGAGGTTTTGTTGCTACAGAATATGACACTGAACATACCTGGAAATGTTGTCTACTTTGTGATGTAAACTGGACTTTAGAAGTTCCTGTGTACATCTGACTTTTATTGTGGTTTGAAATGCACTCGTCAGTGCTGATCCTTTCTAACCCTGAAATAAAAAAAAATAACATCTACTTCTAACATTCCTTAAATGCTTCCATCAAAGGCAAATCCTTTTCAATCTTTCAATACTTCTAAAATGCCAAATAAAGAGCCGATTCCCTTCAGGATGCTTTTAAAGCCTTAAGCTTATATTACAAGTGTATTCCTGTGGCCAGCTCCCAGAAGGAAATAGTTAGGAGACAGGAGACAATGTAGGGTCCACGCACTATGCCACCTCTCTCATTGCGGTATGGACATCTGAGAGATCTGTTCCAGAAATGAACAGAAATGTCACTCTGGCCTCACAGCCTCTTGCACTTTCTTGAATAGTATCAAGGAATGTTGCTGCCCTTTCAGCAGTAAAGTGACCCGGGCCGTTCGTATCTTGTAAGCTTCAGAAAACACATTAGTCCCTTGCACCGGAGGCTGGAAACAAACAAAATGAAACGGATTCAGCTGAGGCCAATTCACATCGGGTTAATAAAGAGACCTTTTATCAGTGTATAAAACATTTGACAGTTTATTGCTATACTGCAGCAGTCTTTGTTTTATGATTTGAAGTACTGTGAGATCCCCTTGTGAAGAGCACTATATAAAACTTCAATTAATTGTGAATTACAGGTATCATTATAAGTAAACAGAAACAACAGCACCATAATTAATACAGGCTGTGCATTAATGACACAAAACATATTTTGGATACTGGAATCCAGGAACCTAAGCATTCAGTTTTCCATTTCAGTCTATCCTATAGCTGGCACAAAGGACGACAGGAAATTAGAAACAGCGTCATGGAGCATAGATGGAATCTAAAGACTTGTGTTGCACATGTAGGAAAGCAGAGCGAGCACTGAGACTTAGAATAATAAACTGAGGGATCTGCACAGACAGACAGTGCCTAATGTCCCAAAGTAGAGAGCTTGTCTGATGTCCAGTTGGGAAGTTGGCTTGGCTGGGCTGCAGTGAGACAGGAACCACTCACACTTGGGCTTCCTGGCTCCCACTTGCTAATAATTATATGAAAACATAACAATTATATGAAAATATTACTTAAAAATTAATCAACTACAACTGAAAATTCCTGGGGGTCCGTTAATGTACTCCTGATTGCTTTCCTCTTAAAGACAGTGTAGAGTAATTACAGAGAGTAATAGCATGCATATTCAGTTAGAGGTCTCAGTGAAATACTACCTAATTACCAGAGTGCTTAAAATAATCACAGAAAGCTATTGTTTTTTTTAGAGTCTATCATTTACCATACACGGTAGCATATACATTCAGCTGAAAGGCATATTAGATGCTTACTACAAGAGGCAAAAAATGTCCAGGGCAGTTCAGGTGTCCCCTGTTCTTGAACAAAATTCCAACACTTTCATAAAACATTCTTTGGAAAAATGAGAATCCTGTAATCTGACATCTCCGTGAAGCAAAGGTGTTTTCAAGGCTGCATTAATTCTCTCAGTCAGTTATTGTCGGCTCTAGATTTAGCAGTAGGATAAATGAGCTGCTACAGCAGAGCTCTGCACGAGAGCCAGACTGCTCATATCTCAGCAGAGTGGTGATGAGTCCAGGAAAGAGGTGTTTTCTCTCTCACCTCGATCACAACGGCTGCAAAGTTGCGGAGTGTCAGAATCTAAAAAGGGGGTTCAAGGAGGTGTTTAGGCTATGATTTCTCTGCCCGTGTCGGGGATTCCTGCACAGTTCCAATCACATACACAGATGAGCTCTGCACACCAAGCCTTCCCTTGACACAACCACACGGCAGGGCGACGGACAAGAGAAGCTCACGCACACACAAGACACGCACAGATGCCAGTCCAGATGCTCCCAGAGCCTGGTGCAGCCCCCCCGCAAGCCCTCACCTTTGAAGCAGAAGCTGGAAACCATTTATCTGAGCCTCTGCTCCCGGTGCCAAGTCATAAAGATAGAAACACGTCTTTGAACTGCGCAGATTACTTTTCCATTGTCCTCTTCCACCGCGGTGAGATATACTCTGTCTTCCTTCGGAGACTCCATGGCGCCCAATATGGGGAAACACCCATTTGTCAAGCTCAGCGCCCCTGATCAGAGGGGTTTGTCCCTGGGGGGGACGAACCTCTCTCCCGGTCAGCAGGCAGCGATGATGGTCAGTGCAACTGGCTCTTGTCACCTGTGTCATAAAGGATCGAGAACAAAACCACACTGTCAATAAAATATTACATCAAGCGTACTTTAGGCAATGAGTCCTTAGTAATAAGGTGGTAATACCTGTTGAACTTTGGCTTTAAACCTTAAAAGGACAACAAAAGAGGGTGAACCTGCATTTCACCCTCTTTACCTCAGTGTTCACTCATTCATAGAACAAAATCAAGGGAGATTCTTTCCATCTCAAGTAATTCTGCCTTACAAAGGTGTTTTTTTTCTCGTGTTCTGAAGAATCTGCCAGTATTGAGGAAACATTTGATGGAGTTGATTGTCTTCTCCCTGACTCGAAGTTCGAACATTTATTAACAGGGCCAGCTTTAAGTATTACTGCAGAGTTACAAGAACCGAACAATATATTGTCTGACATGCAACATGTTAAAAGTTGTTTTAAGATGAAATAATGAGCCCATTCTTTCCGAGTCACTGCATTTTTTATTTTAATCATATATCTTATTCTGAAAACAAGATAATTTTTCCTTATACACTAAAATCTCTTTATCCTGTATTGGGATTCCTTGGTTCGAGAGAGAAAGCACTAGTGCCACCAAGTGGCACACAAGAGAAACTGTCTCCAACTATGTCTACCTTTAGTCTTCTTTGTGTGCTTTTTAATGGTCTTATAATAACTTAACTTTACAGTAGGCTCACTGGTTAACTATCACCCTCTTAGTTTGCTCATCTTAAATGTGTTTTCACTTCAGTATTTTATTCTGAAGTGCACCCTTTTGTGCGGATACGGTGAAAATGCCAATCTGAAAATATAATTCAAAAACAAAAAGAGCATACAACATTTTCATCACTTCAGCTGAGGCTAGGGTTAAAATACTGACATAATTAACAGTGCTTCAAATGCATTTCACATATCTTACTTCTAAACTCAGCAATCCTTACAAGCCTTTATTACTTAGACCTTGATCTTCTGGAATTTCCACCTTCCACCTATCTTTTTTGCTCCTTTTAATTCATACAGGTCATGATATATGGTTTCCAAATGGACATTCAAACTTGATTTTCTAATTGTTTTATATGTAATAATATATAATAAACAGCTGAAAACTAATAAAGAGCTTATATCTAGGAGAGAACTAGTGATAATCTTCTGCATTGAAAGAACAGATCCCTATTCTGGCAACAGTCAACTAATTAAATCTGAAACACTCAAATGACGCTCTAGCCTAAGACAATAAACAGCAACAAAACTTTCTAACTTCAAAAGGCATCTTTGTTTTTTTCTTTAAATGCTGACTGCATTGAAATGTACGAGAGACCTCTCAACTGCTTACTCCATGGTACAGGCTGGTTTTACACATGTCAAATCGTGTAAAATCATGAACAGCCAGAAAAGCACATTTTAAATTAGCAAAGCCCATTTATGTTAATACGGTCTTAACCGTAATGTTATTTTAGCCTTACAAATGCCTAATCTTACATTGGCAACCTGACAGTTCCAGGGAGAGTGTCAAGCCCTGGAACAGCTTTCAAAGGGTAAGAAATATGTTACTTGGAAAGACACATAATTCATGACAGCACAGTTTTATCAGAGTGCATGGAAATAAAGTATCATCAGCACAAAGTCTCACTCAGCCACATTTCTTGTGGTTCGTTTCGGTGTCTTACGCAGAAGAAGGGGTTACAACACAAGGGCTGGGTAATGGGTGCAGTTTAGTATGCCAAGTAAAGGAATTCAAAACAAAGTGTTTTTAAAGCCTTGCTTGCAACAAAGCTAGGCACTTCAGGTTAGTGGCTCTCGATCAGAGAAAATTCATTTGGTTCTGATCTGTGCTGCCACATTTGGTTGTTGCCAAGAGGAAAACGTTTTGTTTTTATAAATCAAAGCCTGAGAGATGAGGCCCCATACCAGGGCCAGGGATGATGTCATGCTGAAATGCAAAAACTCCAAAGGCAAATAGCATTCAATCTTATCAAATAAACACCTCTTCCTAAAAACAATCTGCGGGGAGGATATTTGTTTCATTTCTCACATCCTGAGCTCTTAAACAAAGGGGTTTGTGAGTGACTGAAAATGTGGTGAACAGAGATGATTCTTGTGCCACGATGCAATACAAAAAAAACCCCAGCTACAGTGAAGACATTTTCCATCCCCTCTGTAATAAAGCAGCTCTGACTTCAAGGTACAGGGAGTCCTTTAAGACAATGAAAAATCTGCAAAATAACTGTTCTATGCGTTTCATGACCTGCATTATGGAAATGACCTTCAACCGCATTAGAAAAATATTCATGGTATTAAAAAAAGTCCATATAATTCTGCTTAAGTGTGGTCTAAACTATTTGTGTGATACACGCAATTCCAGCTGGCAAAGGATTCTGCATGTACACTACAACTGCATTCTCTACAATACTACTATTAACATAAGTTCCAAAAATACTTCATTGATATCCCTGCAATCCACAAAACCCAAAAAAAACAGAGAGAAAATCCAGCAGCTAAAACACAAGTGAAGCGTTCAACAGACCAAAGGTTGAAGTTTTTAAATTTAATACAATCTACAGGTGCAACACCTCTATGCAAAAACATGTGAGGGTGTTAGAACCTCTTACGCACCAGGTGTCTCTACATTATTTTTAAATGGAAGAATTTAATGGTAAGATAATGTTTTTTGTATAGCGGTGTCACACACAGTTAATTCATTTATTTTACTAGTAAAGCAGATTCTTCCAATTTCAAACAAGGTCCCACAGCTAAAAACAAGAAAAAACAGTTAAAAAGAAATACCATTTTTTAGTAACACAACCACTAGTAACAAAATAGAAAGGATATACACCCTATTTTACCTTTGACTTAGCATACTTTACTAAGGATCAGTTCTGCTGAGCTATGTTAACCTTCTGGGTACTGATATCTGAAAACAATCCACTCTTTAGACTCCAAATGTCCCCTTAAAACACCAGAACCATAACCTCACACACTGCTGCTGTGAAATATGAAAATATCAGGGTTCATTTCTGAATTCAGAACAGAATTGTGAATCACAGTGGTCAGTTTGAGGGATTTCACTGTTCTTTAGGGTAGGAAAACAATATCATAAAGATTTTTTGGTAGCTTTTAAATGTATAAAATAAAGAATATCTGTCATTCCTAGCTTCATGAATTATGAATTCCCAACTCCCATGAGACTGATCTGAGGAAAAAAAGCAACAATCATTTACTCTTTTAACAGCAGAAGAGGAACAGGATATTTAACCTGTTTATTATCTAACAATATTTAGTCTATTTGAACAATGTCACGGACAAACCCCTGCTATAAATCCAAGCCCTTGCTCATATCTTGTTTAGTTTGGCTGAACATTTCCAGGGTTCTTCTATAATTAGAACTCAAATCCATTTTTCCTTTTTAAGGGTAAGGCAGCATTCACTGTGACGCAAACACTGTGTGCATCAATGGGATCTGTACAAGCTGACCAGCACTAGAAAGTTAGTTTCACCCACAATGTCACAACAACCATAATCACCGTCAATATCGTATCAGTCCTGGGAGTTGGGCCAGCAGCTTTCAAAGCCTGCCAGAGCTGCTGTTTATGATCTGTGTGGGCTCATACTGTACCAGACCCTGTAGCAGACTATTTGACTAGTATGAGTGTGACGAAAACACAACCGGGATAAAGAAAGTCACATTTTTCAAATTCTAGGACAGCTTTTAGCTGACTGCAGACTAGCTCTCTTGTCACAGAGCAACCCCTTGGTGTGATAGGAGAAAAGCCACCCGAGATCAGTCCCCTGAGTCCTTCACTTCAGTCTCCAGCGGTGTGGCCCATCTTCCTTTCCATGTCTTCCTCCAGGCATTCCACTGCATCCTCAAGTCGCAACTGTCAGTGACACTGAATAACGTACAAAACCAATCCCTGCAAGCTGGGGCGTGTCCTGCTCCACGCCCCCCCAGTTACTTCTTCTGGAAGAACCCCATTATGGAGGCCTGTTTAGTTCCCTTGTTGGCGGTGGCTGTGGTCTTCTTCTGACTCTTCCGGTCCTCCTCTTTCTTCCCAGTGGCGGGCTTCAAAGCAGCCGGCGGGTCGGGCCGCTTGTGACTGGACGTGCCCGAGTCCCCTTCACTGTCCGTGCAGGACTCACTTTGGTAACCCTTCTCGGTCACTGGAAGACAAGCAGAGTCCAGCCGCATTAAACCACTGGTGCTAGTGACACAGTGAAAAGGAGGTCATGAAAGAATAAAAGGACATTAATCTGCACTGAGCACAAAAGCAACCATTGTTCAGTGAGTGTTAAGACATTCAGGGCTGAAACTTTCCAATGACACCCCTACTAATTCCTGCGCATCCATCTTAAATTCAAGCTGACCTGCCCAGGACCTTCTCAACCTCTCAATGGGTGACAATTTTGAAGGGATTCTGGACAGGTGACCCTGACTGAGCAGAATGGACAGAAGTGGGCAGGCCAGTTGGATCCAGGGCCAGTGGTGTTTACAGCTTTGACGATCATACAACCCCTTCAAGAGAATGAGGAAGACACACAAAGGATTGTGGGTATCTAGAAGAAATGAACAACACTGTTGTGGATGCTCAGCCTCTAGGGAAACTACATGACATTCTTCAGACATTAAGCTATTTAGGCCAGCATCTGTATTTGAAACACTTCATTATGTACTATACTCCCGAGGATTTTGTAAACCACATATGCATAAAAGTTAAAAACAAAAGCATTCTCCAGTCCTTTTCGCTCGAAGCGTAAGTAAGGAGTTTACTGGACGAAAAAACACTGCAAATGGGTCTGGTGAAAGTACAGATAGATCCAAGAAATGAAAATTGAAATTATTCCAAAATATGAGTAAAAAATCTGTATAGAAAGAACGCAATGTTGCTGATCTTGTGGCTGTAGGATGGGGTTCTGGCCGACAAGAGCACGCTGACCAGAGAGGCGCGTGTATGACCTGGAGCCACAAGCTGCGCGCTGCATGATTAGTTCATTCTCTTGACTATTTCCAGGGCACAGGCCAAGTTTAAAATAAATGGCATTTTAAACTGTGACAACTCCACATAATTTTCAAAGTTAATTACCTCTTTAAAAACTCTGGAGAGAAAAAAATAAATCAATGTCTTAATAAAAGAGTGTATGACACTGAAAAATAAGAAAGTGGGGAAAAAACTTAAATGAACTATTCTTAATTAGTTCTGCGTTTATACAGTGGCTTGAAGCTGTGGCTTCTATAATGAAATCAAACAAAACCACAAACAAATTGATAGCCTTTTCAAAAAATTTTGGTGCAGGTCCAAAAAATGAAAGAATTAAGAAAACTTACAAAAGATGTTGAAAAGAAAGCTGATGTGTTTGCGGATAAATGCATTTCACAGGATTTTGTGTGGGTTTGGAAAGAAACAGCAAATACCAATGGAGCCAAGCATGAACATTTGTCTTCATGACAAGAAATACAGCACTAACATGCAGGAAACCAAATACACCATCGGGGAAATCTGTCCTGATTCAAGATCAGATTTGTAAAGAGGAAAAAAAAGCCCTCTATGTCGAAATAGAAAAAACATGCATCTCAGTGAGGATTGCAATCTTGCAGTCAGCCAACGCCCATGAATTTCCAGCATACTCCTTCTTTCGAAGTTTCTGTAGTCATGCATTTGGCACGTCCAATTTACAGAGCAGGCCCGAGGCCCCAGTTCCTTAACACCGACACTCTCAGTTTAAATCTGCCTTACCCATGCAGCCTTCATCGTCCAGAAAGGTACGAGACTTCAGCACCCTTCTCCTCTTCCTTCTCCTGACTCCCGAAGTGCCCTGGGGTGGAGACAGATGCCTTTATTGGGATGTGATTCTGCTCCTACAATTCTTCCAACAAACACAGCTCTAACGGTAGCTGGACGCCCATTGACTTTAAAGGCTTCAAGTGATCAGGCAAAAACAGTTAGATATAAAACGATAGGGATGAAATGACCCATGAAATTCGACTACATATTACTGAGAGAAGAAAGCAGATTGTGATTGACTGACTTGATACAAAAATCAGGGACACCAGAAAGCAGGAGGCTAGTGAGAGACACGATGGACCAAATTATACATCTGCATTACTCTTTAAGGTCCTGAACATTCGGAAGACATGACACGGGCCACAGGGCAAAGAGATAAACCTGTGTCTATTCAGGCCTTGCTTAGTATAGAGGGAGAAGCTGAGCATCATGAGTCTTGCCCAGCTCATTGGCTCTTTTTACCTGTACCTTCAGGTGTGTGACTGCCAAGCACCTGCGAAATACCTGTGTGTTTCTAGCTCTAAAGATGGAGCAGAACACAAAACCATTGTCAAGCTGGTTACCGGGCCTCGTGTAAATGAAAAGCTAACAGTTCAATTTGCAGTCAGTAAGAAGCATCCTGTTCCCTCACTCCCCAGGATGTGGACCTCATGACATTTACGATTCGGAAGACCTGCACACTTGTGGATGCAATTCAGGGGAAAAAAAAGACAAGTGGATTCAAAGACATAACAGATCAACATTCAGCGACGAAAAAGCAGGAAGCTTTTAAAAAGCATGCTTGCCTCAGACTGGGAGTCGGGCTCCTTCTTGACGTGGGCTTCAGGGCTTGGCGACGGTGTTGCCACATGATGTGAAGGAGGGGAGTCTGGGATCACTGTCACAGAAACAACAGACAAACCTCATCCCGCCTGCTGCCTTCTCCACCATTTTCCACTTGACAAACAGAAGGCACACAGCTGCCTGATTTATGATTAGCGCCTACAAATACTGATGTTTGTTGCTGGTATTCCACTTCTACAAAAAGCAAGCATATAAAACATGCCCCTTACAATGCCTCTCTTAGGGATAAAAAATAAAATTCTCACAATTAATACTGAATACTTTAATAACACTTAAAAAGTTACATATTTGTCTTTAGAAATAATTTCTACTAAACATTTTGGGAAAATACAACTAGTATTTAATGCTGAAGATAATGGGGATTCAAGTTGTGTACAATATGCCTAATTTCCTCTGCTGTAACAGCACTACCCTGTAGTTTCAATTTGTATCCTTGTTTATCTCTTGAGCAACATTTGTGCTTATGATTTAATTCATGCCGAATTTGATCAGGATAGGAAATCCGCGTTTAGTTTGAAGCACTTTTACACAATACCTTTCAAGCTGGCTGAGCCCCCAGCAGGAGCACTGGAGTGTGGCAGTGCAGAGATAAACACTAGAGCTGTCCTTCAGAGAGCTGCGTGAAGGAGCCCCGCTTCTGGGAGACGTCTCTTACCCTCATCGTCGCTGCTGTCTGGCTGCGGTTTCTTTATTCGGCGTCTCTTCTTCTTCTGGCTCTCAAACTTCTCATCCTCGCTGTCCGACACTTCCAGCCGCTTTGTCTTACAGCTAGAAGGGATGCTTAACAAAGAAAATGTGAAAGAAACAAATATTAGGGGACTTGTTCTACGGGAGAAAGGGATGAAACAGAAAAGTGTCGTAATGCTAGAGGCCTCTCCTAAAACTGATTAGTGTCGCGCATTTAAGAAGAAAAAATGAAGTCCTCACTTATAAAACATTTTTACGACCAGCTAGATTTAATGGCCTGGCACTGCTGAACACTGGAGATTTGTTTTTCCCCAAAGCTGTCTTCCAGGCGCGATAAACCTGTATCCCGCGCTTAAATTCTGCAATGCTCAAGGTCCCCCCCCCCCCCCCAGACACAACGGTATAGGATTCCGATCTGCTCAAGTGCGTGAAAACAGCACTTGAAGACAGCAGACTCGCCCCGGCCGCAGCTCTCTGCACAACCTTTTACTCTCTTTCAGCCTCTTCCCCCGGGCCTCCGAGCTCCTGGGCTTCTCCTCCTTGATGTCCACCTCGGGCCGGGCAGCAGGACTCGCAGTCCGCTCCTCCTCCTGGGCCGGTGAAGACGCGGGTGCGCCGGCTTCCTCCTTTATAACTTTCACTTCCTTCTCAGCGGGCGTTTTGGCTTTACCTGCACGGGAAGACAAAGCCCCGTAAGGACGGCCAAGCAGCAGCCTGTGAACAGAGGGCACTATGGAGCTAGTGGGTAAGGGAAAAAAATCACGCCAATAAAAACTCACTCGTGGTCGCCTTTCCGAAGAAGTTATTCATGGCACTAGGTTTGCTGGGTGGCTTACTTTTTGATGGCTCTGCCTGTCAACAATAAAAAAAGATTTGCTCATTTAAGTGTAGTACGGCAATCCTGTAACACAAACAGGCCTAAAATTGGCTAAACGTTTGGATAATTTTCTTAATTTCATTGTTCATAAGGTGTGATAGCCCACAATGATTAAATCTAGCCACTGCAATGTCACACAAACAAAAGCGCACATACAGCTGCAGTATCTTCTTTCACTTCGGTCTTCACTTCCTTGTCCGTCTCCTGAGACTTGGACGTGCTTTTAGCACTGAACATTCCCATGATCCCTCTGGGCGGCTGAGCAGCTGGTTTTGCCACATGAGTGCTGTGCCCGTTGAGCGCAGGCTTGCTGGCGGACTGCTGCGCCTCGGAGGCTGGGGGCATCGCTTGCGCCATCTCCTCCATGCGCAAGATCTCCGCGGAGGACAAAGGATCCGCACCAGCACATCGGATGGCACTGTGCCTAACGGACAGAAAGACTTTCGTGAGCTGTCCGACCCGTGTTCAACTTACAATTGTCAAGACGGATGTCCCACTGAAACAATCAGAGTGAAGCACAACAGCCAAACCTGCCATCGGCACATGTAATCTTCCAGCTGTGAATCCAGAGCCCTCAACGGCACTCCACACTGCAACTTTACTTTTTCTGACCATCACTACAGTATATAACTTGTTTTGTGACCTTTAGTAAGATAAAGTCAAACTAGAATCATAAAGATGCGTCTCCTCTTCTTGGTTTTAAATGCATTTCTACATAGTCTACACTCGGAGCCCTCTGGTTTGCTCTTCACTGTCCATTCTGAAGAAATCCACTGGGTTGACCATGTAGGTCATGTAGCAGGTCCCCCCGCAATCTTCTCTGTCCAAGACTAAAACCAAAACTTCAGCTCCTTCAGTCTGTCAGTGTAGGATGATCACGACTCTAATTCTTTATTCAGGACTTACTTGCTGCAATTCTTTAAATTTTCTTTTACAGCATCGTAATCTGTGTTAAACAGAGGCCCACTGTCCTTCAGCACCGCCTTCTGAATGCTGTACACATGCACACTGGCAATCACTACCATCTTGGACTTGACAGCTGTAAAGAGTCAATTAAAAAAAGGACATTTGTAAGACTCCAGGGAAGAAAAGCTCAGGCAAAACCAAAACGCATTCCTGTCATTTGTACTGAAAGAGATTTTAACCTGAAACATCAGTTGCTTTTGAATAAAATCTTAAGAGCGGGGAACTCAGATTTCTTTGTAGGCCCCACAGATTTGACCCGGTCTAGGTTGTAACAAACATTAAGAGTCAGAACTGGAACCAGGTTAAATAAAACCAAATGTTTCTCCAACTTGCCTTCGAGCTGATCTTCTCTCACTACTGCCACCTTGTGACTCTGCAAAGAAACAGTTTTTAGTCCACAATTTTCAGAGACTGATAGGTATTCTGAAGGACAAAGATAAAAAAAAAAGATTCCTCTCAGATCAATTAGTGCTGAATTATACCACCGAACCTGACCAAGACTCCTCTCTTCGCGACTATGTGCTCTGACCCTGTGGTCCGGAGAACAGGAAGCACCTGAGCCATGCTGTCAAAGCCCATCCCACTGCTTCTTCCCAATAATGGCTGCGTGAGATGCTAGGATCAATTAGCCACTAAGAGCCTCCTCTTATTTGCAAACTTTCTTATTAAACACGTGTAGGACCAGGCTCGTGTTTCCAAAGTCAGTACGGCGAATGAGGCTGTGTCACGGAAAGCAAAGGCGTTCGAGGCGCTGTAGCCCTGCGGCAGCCTGTACAGATCATCTCCTCGGTTGTGTTTCTTCCTCAAATCCATGCCTTGATCTGCTCACCGTGCTGCCATTCTCCGTCAGTTTACCAGACACCAGGTAAGTGGCGTGAAGCTGAGACCCGGAGCTCTCCTTTCTCTTTTGGTCTAAGTAGTGGTAAAGCATTCTAAAATGAAGAACATTGAATTAGTACACAAATACAATAGCTGCATATTACTGGGATTTCTATGAGAATAAGTTACATAAAAACCTGAATTTGTTATCCACAGAAAACTCACTGCACAAAAGCATTACACCAGATTCCAAACTGAAGTATAATTACATTACTTTTCTTAACCTTGTTATAAAAGCGGAGGTTGTTACCTAACGAGAAAAATGCACCCAGTCCGTTGATTATACCTGCTAAACTAACTTGCTCAGTGATGAATTCACAAATTGCACTGACAATCTCCGAAATGCAAGCAGAATAAACGCAATATACTAAAAATGAAAGGCGGGAAGTATTCAGATTGTGATAGTGATACAGGGTGGGATGTCACTTACTGTTTTGCCTGGTTGACATGAACTCCCAAGGTGAGAGAAAGCCATTTGTAGGTAACCTGAATGAAAAAAGCACTGTCAAGAATATTGTAACAGTACAAGGTAGCTGTCATGCATTCATTTAAGAATCACCCACTAATGAAATCTGAAGGGGTGCCTCACTCAGAGCTGAGGGACTGTCTGAAATAAGCAAGAATTTAGAAAGTCTCATTAACAAGCTTAGAGTCATGAAAGGGTGGCCCAGGACGAGGTGCAGTCCAATAAACATTTCCCTCGATCATTTCTGACCAACACATAGAACAAATGGCATTCAATTAATAAAACTCTACAGAACACCCTTCAGGTATTGAAATTAGTGGACTACAGATCTCATGCTATTCTGTTGAACTCAAAATACTGCCGATGCCAGCCGTGAGGTCTGACGTATTTTCGGTACATAGGTGTACGTGACATTTGCCGCAGGTCGCTAGGCTTTCAGACAAACTCATGTCAGATGTCCTTCCCCTATCGTTAGTGTTGTTTGAAACTTCAGCTTAACCACGTGTCCGTTTTCGACAGCCGACACTGAACACACCAGCACCTAATTCTCGGAGACCGCTTCCGTCTTTGTAACACAACGCAGAAAAGCCTGCTGGCCGTTTCACGCCGTTGCCGCTGTTCGTAGATGTAGCATAACGCTTGTTTTCGTGTTGTAGAAAACAGAAACGTCTCCCTCATTCATCGCCAGCGACTACCATTAACTTGAGGATGTAGGTGCTGATTTATGTCGATAGATGCGCCCGACCACCGCGAATCGTGGGCAGTTTAGCAAAATGCACGAACAGCGACCTTCAGGCTCTGAAGGGAGCGCGGAAAATGAATCCACTTAACAAACCCGTACTCACGATTTTGTTTTGATCATGGATAAATTCATCAATGTTGTCTAAGTAGAGGTCATCCATAGCGCCCACTCCGTCGTCTGTCCGGGTCGTATTCGCACCACCCCTACTCTGCCGAGCCGAGCTCCCTGTTTCAGGCGGGAAAGACTCTCAAGCTCTGTTTTTCCTCATCGCGTCCCCATGCGAGACTGGAGTTCAAAGGTGAAGAGGTCGTTCCCTTAGAAACGGTAAACAACTTTCTATACGGGGGCCCGCCTGGGTCAAAATTACCTTTCCCACTTCGCCTTGCCGCGAACTCCATTTTACCGAGAATCGCAGCTTTCCATTAAATCCATTGCCTGCTTTTTCGTCTCTGTATCCCCCCTTTTATCTTCCACACGCATTTTCTTTTTCTTCTTCGTTTTAACCCGGTTTCACTGTCGAAACTTTCGCGGTTTCCTTGTACTTTTCAGTGTGACAACGACCTCTGCAAGTTCAGCTGTGCAGCTCTCACGTTGATGCCTGCAGTTCTTCACTCAAATAGTTTCTGAAACATTCTAATTACCTCTAAAACTTTTAACATATTATTTATTATGTAAAGCAGGTTTTACTAGTCCTCTTAGAGAAAAGTAATTAACACAAGGTTCAGCGTTACAACGCTGATCTCGACTAAGGACTGAGGTGATTATTATTATTAATAATATTATTATTTTGCATATACAGTATGTAGCATAGAGTTCTATTAATATCAATACTTTTTCCATTCTAGTTTTTTTTTTCAGACCAGAATGTTAAAAAATTAAGCAATTTGTTACACATTACCAAACATTTCTTCAGATTGAAGCATGAACAAAGCAGAAACTGAATGTGAACAAATGAATTACCTGAGGCCTGATGGTGGCATAACTCAATCATCAAAAAAATAACCATTCATTTACATAAATGTGAATGTATACGGAATTTTACACAATTGTGGAGAAAGAAATTTGAGAGACAAATAAAGAGAAAAAAAGGGAAATTATTTTTATTGTAGCATTAAGTATTTACTAAATGGAAAGTGGCCATTTTAATAAATGCAATCACACAAACCCAGCTCAGATGGTATTTTAAAAAACATAAATACTACAAGCTTTATGGTCTAAAGCACTGGGCCCTTTTACGAAGGTATATGTAAAGGTGTATAAGTTACCGTATGTCTCACAAAAATAAATGACTTATTCAGATCTCTGCGATTTCCTTCTTTAGAAAGAGACAAGTACATTGGAAAATGAACAAATAAATCTTGTCTGACCTATGTTAGACATTATTTTCTTTATGTTGGGATTTGTAATGAACAAACATTGCATATGTTCCAAGCAAGAAGCTTCACTGAGACAGTATATTACTACTATTGTCCTAACATGTAAACAGAGGTGCCCCCCAACTTTACAGTATTGGTTACAGGAAAAACATGGGGAAGAAAATGCTCTGGTAATGACAGGATGAGACACATGGGAAAATGGAATATCTGCACCGGATCTTTTGAAATACTGCTAGTATCGTGAATGACTTGAAAACAAAGCAGGAACACAGCCATGTTCAATATTTAAAGATTCACTTTGGAAATCCTGAGCGATAAGAAGCCAGCTGGAAAATGGAAGCTTCTGGTCCTCAGAAGATATGAGACACACAGCATCTGAATTGAAAAAAAAAATACAGCACTAAGTACAACAACTACTTTAAGCAGCACTTGATCATGGTTGGAACTGAAACGGGGGTTCTGGTCTCTTCTGACATTGTTTTGTCCATTGATTCAATACCAGAGAGGTAAGGGCTATGACAACTGGCATGTACTCTGAGAACGGGGCGCAATTAGTAACACCGTTCACAAAACTTGATATTCGAACACATTAAGACACTGGAATACTTCATTTTGCGCCATCTCTTTTTCATAAAGAGCATTTCTGAGATCTTGTGCTAAAATATACTTGATTGGAAGGAACAGAATTTAGTGGTGAGCTGCTTTTTGCTAAAGAGAGGAGAACCTGTTTTAAAAGCTATTATTTTTGGAGGGTCCAAGCACGTTGAAGCCAGGTCTGTTTATCGCATGTGGCTGTAGATGAAGAAACGCAACAAGAGCCGCCTGCACTCACACAAATCCTTTGTCACAGCCCAGAGGTCCGAAGGGTAACTCCTGAGGCAGACATGCAGTACGACAGACCCCGCTGTAATTTGAGCACCCCCAAGGAAAGCTGGATCCCACCTCAGCCCCATCTGGTGAAAAAGAGGATTAGATTGTTTTTTAAGATTCAGATTCGTTTGTCTTAAAACAAAATTTAACATAGTACTGTAACTACAGGTACAACACTCAATATATTGTCAATGTTTAGCTTGTGTTCAAACCTTTCAAAACTTCATGTGGGGGTTGAATGGGAACTTTATAAGGAAGAAATGAATAGCAGCGTATCCAGTAAGTAATCTAGTCAGATCATGGACATTTTCACGGCACTACAATATTTTTAACATTTCTGCTGAGCCTGTGATCTTTTCAAGCCATGAAAATGCTTAACATATTGTGCTGCAATCATCAATGCTACAGACAACAGTTCTCTCCTTCCGCCGAAGTTTTCTTATATAAAACCCAAATAACACAATAAGCGATAGTTAGAAGAACTCACGCGTCATGGTTAGAAATGCCAGTACCACCAAAAGGACCAAGCGCTGACAGTTCATGGCTGCCTGCTTTTGATGACACTTCAGTGCTTTGCTACAAGTCCTAAAATGTTTGAGAACTTTTATAGCTCCTTAGAAAAGTTACGTACTAGGGAAGGAGGAGTAAATCGAATTTGTTAGAAGTCAGTATTTATGTTAACCACGGGCAACCTTCAAAAGGTACAGTAGTTTAATGGAAAGAGTGATAACTGTAGGCCATTCCTAATTAGGTTTGGGGTAGGAACAAGGCCTTCATTCCTAAGCGCGTTCTTGGCAGCATGTCCTTATACAGTGTCATGGGACACTGGTTTCTAGAGAACAGAAGACTCTATGTGGAGAAAATAAGTTTCACCCGATGACAAACACATGGTACCTCTCACTGTGTCTGGTCCACAGCGCCACTCTCACACGGCTCTTTCTGTAAACGGATTAAGAGTGAGATTAGCAGACTTGAGATCATTGGCCTTAGGCCATTTGACACAGAAAATAGCCTTTATGTTTTCTGAACGTTTTCCTGATTTTCTGAATCTTCAATTTATTGATATTAATACTATAAATAAATATAATAAATATGATTAAACTCTTCCCCCAGATCTACCGCGTGTCGATGCAGGCAAAACAATTGCATGGAAAGCCCGAATGCATAAAAAAACTTTTAATTAGAAATAAACAGCTACTAATGTATTCTGTTTCTAAAACTTGAAATAAGCAGGACAAGACCAGTTACATTGACGTCACCACAACAGCGCCACCCCCTGCCGCTGTGCAGCAGTAGTGTCAAAACACTGTGTTTTGTCAATAAAGTTAATAATTTCAGAGGATCAGCTGTCAGAGTATGGCGGCATCCATAGGACGGATAAGTCTGTCCGAGCAAAAATACTGTAGGTAAGTTTCTTTTTGATTTAACTCATCTAAATTTATACATGTTTTTTTTTTGTTAAGTTGATATTTTAAATGTCTACTTGTGCTGTCGGTTTTTAAAAACAAATTTGCCTTAGATTTGTCTTGTGTAAATAATATAATTTTACTTTAGAAGACAATTTATACACACACCTCAGCGTGTGTGATGTTTATAAATATAGTTCATCATAAGTTTTATTCTGAGCCGAAGTAATAACACGGGCCTTGATATTTCACTTGTGATTAATCACTTTTTTATTGAATATAACCTACTTCTCAACGGTCAGCTGTTTTCTATGTTGTTAACTGTGTGGACGAAGAGGAGAGAAAAAAAAAACAACTTCCAGTAGGAAAATAAGTTTCTCGGGTTTCGAGGCCCGATCTGGTACAGTAACCATAAACAATCTCTACCAACTCAGGGGTTGAGACCTTGCTTTTCCCGGTCTGTCGTCAGGGTTATTAAAATTAAATACCATGTAGTTTATCAAATGACAGTGCTTTGCATAAAATCACACACTGGAACTTTTTTTTTATAATGATATAAAATTCGATTCGATCTAATGTAGATGTAGTTGTGTAATGAAATTTGGAGTCTTTGTCTTATAGCCTTTTCTTTGTGTGAGTTATGGTATTATGAAAACAGCGGCGTGTTTTTGTGTTTTGACCTGCTGAAATTATGCTTTCTTTTGTAGGTCCGGGTTATGAGTGACGCTGAAGGCTTGTGGGTGTTTGTCAACAGTCTGGGGGCAGCTTTGTTTTTGCTTATCGTCTGGTACCATTGGGTTGCCACGGTGAACAGGATTGAGTGGTGCTCGCATGAACACTTCTATGACGCGAGACCAAAGCGTGGCTTTAACAACCAAGGGCGAAGACATGTACACACAAGGCTTTCCTCGTCGGACTGAGGCCTAATGGTACGCAGGGGATGTTGAGGTTTGCTGGTACAATAAGGGACAATTAAAAAAATATTAATTTTAAAGGTTCGTTAGAAACTTCGGAACAAGCCTTGAACGTGAGTCTTTGTTCCACGCTTTGCTGCACTGTTCACAGCGCTCCGCCAGCCCAGATGCAGAGTTAAAACTACACGTCCCAGCGCGAGTCATGGCTCTGCGGAGAGCTGCCGTCCGCGTGGTGAACTTGGGCCGCATTCCCTACGGGCTTGGCTTAGAGATGCAGCGACAGCATGTCCGCCAGCATCTGGACGCCCTGTCTCAGTCCACCGGCCCCCCGCCGAACACCCTCCTGCTGTGCGAGCACCCCCCGGTCTACACCACTGGCATCAGGCAGGGCCCCTACCCCGCGCAGGAGGAGTGGCGGCTGAAGGGCCACGGAGCCGACTTCTTCCGCACGGACCGGGGCGGGCTCATAACCTTCCACGGGCCCGGCCAGCTGGTGTGCTACCCCATCCTCCACCTGGGCTGCTTCCGGAAGAGTGTCCGCTGGTACGTGTGCCAGCTGGAAAGGACGGTCATCGGTCTGTGCGGGAAGTTGGGGATCGCGGCCTCCACGTCTCCGGACACGGGCGTGTGGGTGGGGGACAAGAAGATTTGTGCCATAGGTAATTCCGGCCCTTCCTTCTCGACTCCAGTTGCAGTGTGAGGGGAATGCATGCATTAGCTGCTAGTGTGCAGGACAGACTTAGATCTTGTTTTTTTTTAAATGAGTAGGGGCATCAATTCAGCCCTTACTTTTTCAAGCAGAGTCATATCATAAGTGAAGGAGTTGAGGGATAATGAGAAACCTAACCAGAAGTACCCAGTTATGAGGTCAAGATGCTTCTTCGATAAAGTGTTGGTGGTGAAAACGATGTGTTATGTGCTCTGTCATCTCTAATGGCAAAATGTTTTTCAGGCATCCATTGTGGGAGATACATTACCTCTCATGGCTTGGCTCTGAACTGCAACACTGAGATGAGCTGGTTTGAGCACATTGTACCCTGTGGGATTGTGGGTAAAGGAGTCACCTCGTTAAGCAGAGAACTGAAAAGAGATGTTACAGTAGCAGAGACTATTCAGCCTTTTCTAGATGCCTTTGCAGAAGAGTTCAACTGCATTCTGTCCCTGGAAAACATAAGAGATCATAAAAGCCATCCAAGTGAAAAAATACACGTATAAGAGTGTGCACTGTCTGTTTTCTTCTTTCATATCACAATGCACACCTTCATAAAATGTTTAAAACATTTCAGGGCATAAAAAAAACTATCTAGAATGAGAACATCTCAGTTTATTCTTATATTTTGACAAGATTTTTACCCGCTAAAATTAACTCCAGTCTTGTCAATCTTTTTTTAATCGGGCTGTTTTCAAAATTGAAATTATTTGCTTATATAATGGTTTCACTTAATGTTCTATTTATTTTAAAGCATTGAAATAATCAATCACAGATTCTGTTTTGTCATTTTCCATTCAGTACACATCACTTTAGAATATAGATACTTTACTGCCATCTGGTGATGAAAAATTATATTTTTTTAATGAATGTACTGTAGCCTCTGTATTTCACTGTTTGTAATGTTAATGTGAAGAAGAAGACACCGTAAAAATAAAACTCTTGCTGCTTTTTGTTTAACACGTGGAATTTGTATTTCTGACCATTCTGTTTTGTGGTAAAATTTGAGTTGTCATGTCTTTTCATTTTATCGGCAACATTGGATTTATTTATATGGATTTATAAATTTTGCATTTCAAAGCTTTAGGACGTAGAAGACGAAAGGAAACTTCACATACGTTAGGGAAAAATCCATGGGATTTATCCGAGTATAATGTATGATTGATTTAAAATTTAAAAGTCTGTGTGATATTCAGAGGTTAGATTAGAGCTTTAAATCAATAAAACAAATTTCCATTACTGTAAATTTACATGCCTTTTTGTCTGGAGATATTGGACTGGTAACCAAAATTTTTACTAAAACGAATGAATCTCTTATTATTTATTATTACTCAACTCCTGAACTCTTGTTGCTAAGGAAAGTTCGGTTCGGTTGTGGGGCATTGTGGGGGTGATTGTAGTTTTCCCCTTCTCTTCAGCTCAGTTTGCATTACAACGGCCGCCGAGAGAACTACAATTCCCAACCCGCCCCGCGCTGCAAACGGTGCGCTTAAAAGCCGTCCGGAGACTGCGGGCAGAGCGCAGTCGCTACAAAGGTGGGAGCGCTGGGGCTGTTGGTGTAGTAGGGAGCCAGGAATTCACACCGAAGTTTAAAGCGTGGATTGTTTTCAAGTCCATGAAAGCAAAATGCGTCACAGGCTGCTCTAAAGCAGTGTCTCGGTCAGTTAAATAGCGCCTTGTGTTGGCGTTTTTTTTTTCCGCCGAGGCATGTGCGGTAGTAACAATTAACTGTCATTTTCGGTAGGTAACACAGTAGCCGTGCAAAACGAAATGCGTCTGTGCTGCGTCTGGGCTCGGTCCCCCGGCATGCCAGCGATGTGTCAGTGATCGCCGGTAGTGCGTAAGTGCAGGTAACCTGGATCCCGTTATGCCGGGTTATTTCCATACCAGCGACGACTCTCGCTTTGATCGGTTCACGTTTAATTGACCTACTTGGCTCCTAGCAGCGAGAGAGTTACCTCTCCCGTTTTTTGGTTTGGTTTCTGCTTTTCGTGTTTAACGGGGTTGCTGTGCTGTACCGTACATGCCAGGCGAAGGTGACAAGCTGGAGGAACTGTATCACCTGGGGAGATCGGGAGAAGCGATGGGAGAGTACGGAGGCGATCTCAACGCTAACCTGCTGTGTCCCGATACCGGAGACCCGCAGCTGGACAAGGCGGTGGTCCAGTGGATGACCTGGGACCAGGTGGGTGCCCTTCAGGGTTAAATGCCTAGGGCGTCGCCGCTGTGCTCTCTCCGGCTCCCGGGCGAGTTCACGCTTAACCCTGTCGTTTGGAGAGGCGTTGGCGCTCAGAAATGGCCGCTTCATCTTAAATTGTAAATCTTAATACATTGTATTATTATTTTTTTTTGCTATGTACGTTGCTTACAGGAAGACCTGATTCCTTAACGGTTTCGCTCGCGTCGTACAGTTCAGCGCAGCGCATTTGGCTGTCTCTGTGAATTCACTTCCTCATCTCAAGCGCTGTCACCTTATACAGATTTACACTTACAGTAAATGCCCCCCCCCCCCCCCCAACACACACAAACGTGATCACGTGGCGCTGTTTACTATTTACTTGGTTAGGATCCTATCACGTATATTAACAGTTTTCTGGTTTCCCCCTTACTGCGTGTTGCTTAAGTTCCATCAGTCTGATCGATGAGAATCTGAGAGGTCGACTGTCTCGATCTTGTCAGATCACGGATCTAAGTAAGGCAGGGAGAGAGATTTGCTGCTGTAATCTGTGCTGTTTGGACAGTAAGTAGAGCTCTTTCCTCCGGCTGATCATTCCCCAACCAGTATAGTGACAGGGATTGCTGTGCTGGAGGAGGTGTGATCCTTAAACCAAAATCAACGTGCACACTGCTAGTCGATTGGGGATCCTGGGGCACTGTTCGTAAGAGAAAGGGTGTGACCTCTGGTGTCAGGGTACATTCCATTCTGGATTTGCATAGTCTGTTCTCTCTCATGTTCCAACATAATTCAGTTTGCAAGCTGATCTCACCTGATCTGCTGGCACACAATAGCAACTGTGTGTCACCAGGTGCGAGCTGCACTTCAGCAAAACTCTTGGATCCCTCAGGGATGGCAGGGCTTTGTGTTTTACAGATATTGTTACCATGCCCTTTGAAAAGACTTGGTTTTCCTTCCCTGGGAAGCATTTAAAAGTTTGGTCCACGTGTTTTATGGATCGGAACAAATCTCTTCTGTTTCAAAGGAAAAAGCTGAAAGCAGACATGACACTTTAAAAGTATAACAAATGAAACTGCAATCAAACTCCATCCCAGGTCTCCTTGAAGAGCAAGGTCTAAGCTGACAAGATGAACTATAATCATTGAAGCTTGTCTGCTAACGACATGTTTATCTCAGCCCTTATACTTCTGCAAATAAGATCTAGATTTATAGGCTATGAAATAGACGTCTTGTATGAAGCACTTTTTTAAGATTGTTTTTAAAAAAATGTTTTTTTATAAGGTTTTGTAACAAGCAGGAGAAGTAATATGCTTTGAGTACAGTGCATTTCAGCACAGCAGCTCGCCTGCACTGTTTCTATGGAGTGGCACAGGGCCTACTGCAGACTTGTTAAGATTCCGTGCCAACATGTGACTTCACACAGAAGTGCTGTTCCATTTTAAATAAAGTGTTTTTTTTTCTAAAATGTAAACAAGGCTTATTCTAATGACATTGCTTCATCCATGCTAAGCGAAATGTCTCCATGTCACTAAGTATGGGTGCTGGGGAAGTAGTGCTTTTCAAAGTGGTACAGTATTAAATTGATTCAGGTCTGCAGGTGAATGTGAGTCACTTGTGAAGGCTGGGGAGTGGCTTTTTATTTGATACGAAGCCGCACCAACTGAACGGCACACATTCTCAGAGTAGTTCAGCAGCCAGAATCCTGACCAGGTCTAGTGCGAGTGTTCACATAACTCCTATCCAGGAGTCCTTGCACTGGCTTCCGGTCAAATTCCGCGTAGACTTTACAATTCTCATGCTCACCTATAAGGCTTTACATGGCTTGGCACCTCAATACCTGTCTGAACTTTTATCGCCCTACTCCCCACCTCGCAACCTCCGCTCTTCAAATTCTGCCCTCCTTACTGTCCTCCAAGCCCGTCTATATTGTATGGGCGACAGGGCCTTCTCCTGCTATGCCCCCAAGCTCTGGAGCTCTTTGCCCAAGGATATCAGAGAGTCACCTTCTCTAAACTCCTTCAAATCCAGACTCAAAACCTTCTTCTTCAGAAAAGCCTTTACTTAACTGGTTCCATTCTTCACCCCTCTGCCCTTCTTAATACCACCTTCCACGGTCTCCTCTGTTGTTATTGTTGTAATTATAATTGTGTCCTATCTTGTGAAATCTTCTTATTTATTGTTGTAGTCTTCTTATTTATTGTTATTGTCATCCTGTAAAGCGCTTTGAGAAGCCACCTTTAAAGGTGCTATATAAAATAACGTTTTTTATTATTATTATTATTATTAGTTAAACTGATGTTTATTAGAAGGTGTGCTGCTCTGTGAGCTCGGGCTAGAGTCGCTCTGCCATCTGCAGTAGACCTGTACGTCTTGGCTGCCATCATCTGTCGGCCCAGTGACCAGATGGCTGGTTGCTGCTGAATGCTAACTGGGGTGAGGTAGCTTAATACACTCTTTCCAAGGCAGTCACATTAAATATGCAACCATGTTCTTGTCTGCTGTAAAAATGACTATGGCACAATCTCCTCAGTAAGAACACCACACTGATTTCACAGTGAGTTAATACTGTACTACTGCTGTAAATTACATTAGCATAACCATTATCCCTTCACAATAAGCGTGATAACGGACTTTTCTTTGGTTAGGAAAAGGAGGAGAACGCTCTCTTTGTGTCAGTATGGTGTTGAGGTGCTCAGTCTTATACACCAGTGAAAAGCCAAATCTCCTGGTTGCCTTATCTTATCTTAATTTGTGAGGCTTTTTATTTTAGTAGTCTTTGTTATGGTAACACCAATATGCCTTGTAGAACAGGCTTTTGCCAGACTCAGTGCTGGTGGACTTGTTGTGGCATTCAAGAAATCCCATGATCCCACCACATAGCAGACACCACCGTTTCATCTTTCCCTCTCCAGACAGCCTTCTCTGGCAGTACGTTTCAGGAGTGCCCCGGTGTTTTGGCTGGGGCACTTGCTGACCTTTTGTATCTAAATGTCAAAACCGTTTATCATACGAGGACTTAAAGACACAGACTGGCAGTCTCAGAGTCCCGAGGCTGGGCTCTCAAGTGCCTTTAGAATGACTTTGATAGCACCACCTGAATCACTAGAGATGAGGCCACAAAAAACCCCATCAGAAAATCCCTGTCTCCGCCATACCACAGTTCTGCCCCTTTCTCTAGGTTGCTCTGTCCTGGTGTTGTGGAAGCTAGGCTGCATGCTAGGAATGCTAGATTTTTCTGCTATTTCTAATGTGAGATTTTTTTTCTAGATTAATGCTACTTAAAGGAGGGTAAATGTGTTGTTAATTTCCTCCTGCAACGCAGGGCTCTAAAAATGGATTTGTTTAAATGTATGGTCCTTCAGGGATAAATACAAAATGAAGTACCTTTCATTTAAATGACAGAGAGCCTTCCAACAAAAAGCTCTGCATATCCTCGTTAATGGACATACTGTATGCAGCTTAAAGTGGAGCATGTAGGGGTCTGGCTGTGACTGCATTTGAAGTGGTTTTCTCAATCCCCATTTGTGCTTCCCACAGTCCTTTCCATCATAATCAAGGGTGCCGAAGGATGAAGCAAGAGCCCACCTGCAAACACAGAAGCCAAAGTGATTCTTTGTTATGGGCTTCTGTCCCATCTGGGATGTTGTTAAATCACTGTGCTTATCAGCAGGCTACTAAAGCCTCTCTATTTACTGGAAGAGTCGCATAATGGCCTTACCCGCGAGGCACTGAGGACACATCATCATCCTGCAGAGTAACAGTAAAGTAAGAATTTTAACTTGCTGCAGCTCTGCTATCTTCCAGAGAATGGCTTTGCAGTCTAAAATGGAGTTTTTGCTTAAGAGGGCGTTACCAAATGCCTAGCATTTTACTTTTGTGTCCAGATGAATATCTCTCCACAGTCGTCTCTTCAGTTTCACAGGCTTTGCATTTTAATGTTTCCATGTCCATCATCTCATGCAAAAAAAAAGAAAACTCATTTTTTTTAAATCAGATTCTTTCCCTTTATCAGTCTTGTGTTTTGATTGAGAGAACGTCCTGAGCAGGAGAGAACTGAATTGCGTGTTTGGCTCAATGCAGTTTTTACAGTAAAGGCTTCTGTTATCTTTAATCGGGAAACTAGGAGACTTTCTTCAACATGCTCCGTCTTAGTGCTCCCCAGCAAGCCAGGTCCGTGCAGGCCCACACTCGGACAGCTCTTGAGGTGCCAGTGTCTTATTGTAGACTTTATTATTGTTATGCTCAATGTCACCTTTTTTTTTTCCCACCGTATGGAATTTGGATGTGCCTGAACTGTACTTCCATCTGAAGAGCATGGTTATGGATCCCGTTTAGATTCTGTAGCGACTGATGTGCTATGCGGCATATCTATTTTTACATTAACGTTGTATTGTTAATAGTTTATAACTGACAGGTCTCGGAGAAGATGTGAGACTGTTCTAGTAATCTCCTGAGACTGCAGCATTCTTGAATTATTCTTCGGTAGGCGGCTGGCCTTTGGGAATAAGTGCTGTGTGGCTGATTGAATCCCAGCTGTGGGTGGGAAGTGCACACTGCAACTGCAGCTAAAATAATCTTGCCTGTGAAGGCACAGAAGACAGAATATCTTCTCATCTCATAGGTCTACTGTTAGGGTTCAGGTGCAAAACATGCTGACCCTCGGTACTTTTGTGCAGTAGACTGAAGGCACTCATGGTGTCAGGTGTTGTCTGTATGAATGGCTTCCTGTATATGGCCTCATCCTGTGTCACCAGCCCAGGAAAGTCCGCGGGGAGCGCTCTGTTCACAAGGAGTCGGTGAAGTGACAGTCCCCTGCCGCTTTTCATGTGTAATTGAATTCAAGAGCCTGTTAGGGGGTATAGTTTACTCTTTATTATTAAGCACTAATAGCAGTGTATCTCCAAGTTAACTTCACTCCGTCAGGGCTTTCTACTGAAGAGGGTAAGTGTCTGAAATTAGAGAGATGTTAATCTTTCTCAGATGTTTCCCATTGTTTTTGTATAGTATGTACTGTAGATTGTTCTAGCTCTCCTGCCATTGCATTTCTGATGCTACTCTTACCTTTCATCTGTAAGAAAAGTGTGCAGTGGTATATGAGATGTATAACTTCTTCTGATTTGATGATTGTTTGCCATTGTTTTGTTTGAGCAGAAAAAAAGTTCAGATGTTTGGCTGTAAAAGGAATTTAATATCGCAGGATGACTGTCTGGGTGCTCTGGTATCTTCCCACTGTCCAAAGACATACTGGTGGGTTAATTGGCTTTTTGGCAAGTGCAAGTGTGTGCGCGTGTCTGTCCTGAGATGGACTGGCGTTCTGTGCCTGTTGCTTGCCAGGATAGGCTCTGACTCCCTTGCAACCCTGAATGAACCCTGCCGGATGCAGTTGGAGAATGGATGGGTGGATTGCACCCATTATCCAGTAGGTGTCTAAATGTGCACAGTATATGAACAGGACACGGGTGAAGACTGATTGATGGATTGACATTTTCTTGCCCTGTTCTGGATGGTGTTCCATTGGAAAACCCATGTCTCGATGCTGTGATTCTGGGCTGACGGGCGTTCCTCTTGCTGTCCCCTTCAGAACCCGCAGACGAGGGCTCAGATCGAGAGCCTGGCCAGGGAGGGGAAGAGGCAGGAGCTGCGGGAACGCCTGTGCTCCAGGATGACGTTCGGGACGGCCGGACTGCGCGCGCCCATGGGCGCCGGCTTCGCCCTCATTAACGACCTCACGGTCATCCAGTCCACACAGGTCAGTGTGTCCGTGTGTCACCCGGTCCGCACAGGGGGGTGTGTCTGTGTGTCAGAGAGAGGCATCCCGTCCACAGAGGTCAGTGTGTCCGTGTGTCACCCAGTCCAGGTCAGTGTCACCAAGTCCACACAGGTCAGTTCCACGGGTGACTCTAAAGGTGTGGGACTCACAGGGTCTTCAGATTACTGCATTTACGTTTTCAGGCATGAGGTATTCAGTACTTAAACCTGCACCAGATGGACACTTTGACTCACCCTGGAATCACAAACTCGTGTCTCCAGCAGGCGAGACCCTGCCATCACTTCTTGACTTTGGAACCTCATCCTGAAGCTTTTGTGGCTTCGCGGTTGTATAGTACATGGCTGCAAGTTGCGCAGATGACTGGTTTCCTTTCTTCCCTGGTGGAAGATTATAAAACTGTTTGTTTTGAACTCCTCTTGCTGAGTCACACAAAGCCTCCTCTAAGATGAGTCATGTGAAATATTGTTATCGTCACGAGCTAGAAAGTAAACCCTGTCGGCTGAATTTCGGCTGACTGAAGAAATAAAGAAAATGCGCAAGCGAGCAAGGAAAGAGAAGACGACGATGTGCAAAATCATCCAATCCCCCCCGGAAATCGGTGGGTTTTCATTTCTAAACGAACCAGCTCTCAGGTGGTGTCTGCACGTGACTGTCTGGCACCCGTCAGGTTGCCGTGGCAACGTACTGTTCCTGGGGAGTCGGGCTGAATTCCGAACAATATCCTGTCTGCTCCTGAACATGAAAGGGAGAAACGGATTACAGGAAAAAAAACACAGCAGGTTTTGTGTGGGCAGATCCACTTTTTCTATCGGAGCCAGATGTCTTCCTGTTGTTGCTGCTGAGTAACAGTATTTCCAGGCTGTGAAGAAACAAGCTGATCTCAAAAAGATCGTTCGCATTTTTGTATATGTGGTCTTCTGTGCATCTTGATACAGCTACATAATATGTTACACAATAGTTCTTGATGTGGTTTCTTCAGGTTCTGGAGATTGCTGCTGGTCTCAGGCTTGTGCTACAGTGAGCGGCCAGTTTCTGAGCCAGGGCAGAGTGGCACTGCAGTACATCTCGAATTCAGGAGCTGTCCTGTGGGACTGATGGATTTTTGGCCCCGCTGCTCTGCTGCAGATGCACTGCAGCACTTAGAAGCCCCTTTTTTTTTTCCTTGTTTGGATTTATAGCTCATAGCTGCATTAGTACAGTCCTCCAGGGTCGGAATCCAGCAAGTTTCCGGTTTCCTTTTCTATCCTCAGCAGCTGAAAACCTTCGAAATGTGTTAAACTGGCCCAGTTAGGTGATCAAGAGCATAGGTGAAGCGAAAACCCACTGTTACTGAACCGGTGTCACGCCAGTGTAAACTGCTGGAGAGTTTTGAGCCAAGCACAAAAGCTGTGTGTTTCACAGTCCTCAATTCCTGCCCTGCCAGGATAAGGCGGCTGTGGCCTTCAAACTCCGATTGAACACTGAAATAAGCTTGGTCTTCTAATATTAATAAAAATGCGCTCCTTCTGGTGCCATACAGTGTGTGTGGTAGGAGGAGAGGGTGGTGTGTGGCACACTTACACACGCTTATTTGTGTAAGTATGCTGAAGGACGGAAAAGGCTGAGGAACAAATAGGTTTGTGTGCCACATTCGTCACGTGTTTTTTCTAAGCAACTTTTCTCTTTTTTTTTTGCAGCGCAAGAATAATGCTATTAGGTTTTTTACACACTAGAAAATAAATCCTCCAAATTCTTTACCCATCCAGCACATCTGAGCGTGGTTCAGTTTCTCAGGAGAAGCCGAGGGAGCAAGTTAATGAAACATTAATAAACATTATTACTCTTTGTTCCTAATGTTATAACTGTTTGTTCTCCAGCTGGAGTTTACTCCAGGCTTTCCTTCTGCTACCCTCAGCTCTATTCCTCTGTGTCACTTAACGGACAGAAATTTTAAGGAAAAGTAGCAACAGAGCTGCAGAAACGCAGGGCCCTCTGCAGCCTGTACCTGGCACAGTGCTCTGAATTTGTTCTGACGGGTATACCCTGGTGTACCTGGTGTGGTGCGAACTGAGTTTGTGTAATGGATGATGAATTCTGCGGGTGAATCTGTTGAGTTTTGTTTTTTCTGGTGGGCGGTTGGCGAGTTTGTGACCGCGTGTCTCCTGTGGCCCCCAGGGGATGCACAGGTACCTGGAGAAGAGCTTCCCTGACCTGCGGAGGAGGGGGGTTGTGATTGGCTACGACACTCGAGGCCAGGAGGCCAGCAACTGCAGGAGTGAGAGGTACAGCACCCTCCTCCTCCTCCTCCTCCTCATCCAGCACTGCAGCTTGCCTCTTTCACAGCGGGCGAAGCAATACAAGCATCTTTTTTTTGCCTCCTCTCTAATGGAGGAGTGGCTTCATGAGCACAAATTCTGACCGACCTCTCCTGACCCCGTCACTACAAATGCAAAAGACCAAGCAATGAGCTTCACATGGTGATTCTTAGATACAAATCTAATTTTATGGATTAAAACAGTCCTTTGCAGGTCACTAAACCCGAGGGCTTAGAATGCTCCCATTGCATGCAAAACTGCGCTTGCACTTTTGCCACTGTGCTTAACCGTATCAAAGCAAACTCTCACTCTCACTACTCTGTAAGATGTTGCCTGAGCAGCACTTAATAACTGTAACATATAAATAGAATAAGTTAAATGTGGATCTGTGTGGAGCACAACAGTAAGATGAATGAAATTCTTCCAAAAGTTCTGATAATATTTTATCTAACTTTCTCGGTTTCTCCGTTACTTTGAGGAAAGGAATGCTGAGCACTAATCTGGTTTGTGTGGTCTGCGCCTGATACATTCTGTACACATTTTGAAGGGCAGGAGAAGTCAAAACAGCTAGGCACAGTCAAAACCTTGCATCATAATCTTATTCACACTTTTACCTCGAATTAACTTTTTTGAAGTAAATTGAGAAATTAGTGATTTTTTTCCATCTTTAAACATTGTATTGAATATACATTTAATTATTTAAGAGTAAAATGTTATTTTTCATAAAGGTGTATTTGTGCTGGACATGGTTTTAGTTTCTTTTGTGCAACAGAATAATAAAATGGAAAGTGATACTAAAGTGATAGTACAGAGTAGTGATGTACAGTGTATATATACTCTTCACGTGCGGTGTCACTGGTATCGGCCCCGTTGGTTTTGCCAAATGGAATTGAAATAGAAAATAACCTGGTGGTGACGTTGAGTCTGTGAGTATCAGACCCCTGTGACCTTGCCGTATGCCGACAAAACCGCTTGGTAAGGAGGAGAGGTGCTGATCTGTGGTCGGCCACTCAGGGTCATGGTTCCCCTTCCTGTCCTCTCTGCTCACCAGACTTGCAAGGCTGGCTGCTGCAGTTCTGCTTTCCAGAAACGTCCCGGTCTTCCTGTTCTCCACTTACGTGCCTACCCCCTTCGTGGTAAGACTGATCATTTCCTTTAATACACAAATTTAGCTTATGCCTGAAGTAAGGCTTGCAGGGGGCTGGATGAGAGTGCTAATCTATGCAGTGCAGATTGAGAAGACACACCCCCCCCCTCTTAATGTTTTCATTTTCACTTTTGGCATTAATCTTAACAACTTGTTTTTTTTTTTTTTACAGTTATATTTGTTATTGATGCAGCCTTTTCATGTTTGGTTTGCCTGTAGCACTTTATTTTTTATTTATTTTTTAAATAATCAGCAAATATGTTTATATACATGAGTCCACGTCGATTTGATGCTGCAGTGAGCTCTGTTTTTCCCCATCCGTTCCCTGCAGCAGTCTGGCTGTTGGAACAGTAGATTCTGTTTGACACTCACTGTGCCCTGTTACCCGTGACAATCAGAGGTCACTTATTGCCTAACCTGTCAATAAAATTACATGACAGACTTGGCAGGACTGTTCGGCAGACATGTGCACAAATTCACTTCTGAGATCAGGTCATCTAGATGTTTTAGTCTCCTTATTAAGAGTGACAACAGCTCCCATAGTTGAAAGATATGGATATGTTAGTGTATTAGAAAATGGGTCACTTGATTCTTTTAAGGGACTTCTAAACAAAGTGTAAAGCAAAATGGTTCCTGACCTGTAGCTCTTTTGCTCCTGCGTGTGTTGCTTTCAGCCGTATGCAGTGAGGAAGCTGGGCACCGCTGCTGGTGTGATGGTCACAGCCTCCCACAATCCCAAGGAGGACAACGGATACAAGGTTTGTCCTAGGAGCAGTTGCTCAAACTGTGATCCCAGCCGTGTTGTTGAAGCCGAAACCTGGGCTTCTTTCTTGAAAACAGTTGGGTGAGATCTTTGGGTCAGTCATCTGCTAACTGCCACATGGCCTAGATGGGGCTGAATGGCCTCCTTGTGTCTGTAACCTGTCTCTGCAGTTGAGACAATGGATACAAAGCTTGTTCTACAATACGATACTCGTTGTTCAAGTGGTGCAAGAGGCTTAAATGAAAGAGCCTCTGGTGATCATTCCTGTGATCACAGGAATCACGTAATGTGGTCTCTCTGTGGGTAAAACATTCACTTTATTCAGATGGTCTCATTAGTGCCTGCTTTGTGTAAGCAAGTGTGTTTCAGTTACTTGCGAGGTGAAGTCTTCTGTTAATATGAAGAAGGAACAACATTTTTTCTGGACATTTCTGAGAAGTGACATTATGAAATGTATTGTGATGCTTTTGCTGGACTTTACGACAAGCCTGATGGGTAGTGTAGGGTCAATACATCATCCAGGTGGATGCTACACATTGGTGGTGGTGGAGGGGAGTCCCCATTACCTGTAAAGCGCTTTGAGTGGAGTGTCCAGAAAAGCGCTATATAAGTGTAAGCAATTATTAATTATTATTATTAATACACCATGTAGAGTAAACTGAAGGAAAGTCATAAGGGTTTTAACTTACTGTTATAGCAATGTAATGAGATTTCCTAAGGAGAATTTGGGGTAAGATCTTACTAACAGGCTGAATAAAGCAGGAAATATTTTGATGACTTCATCAATGTTGTTTAAGGTCTATTGGAAAAATGGAGCCCAGATAGCATCTCCTCATGACAAGGAGATCCTGAAGTGCATAGAAGAGAGTCTGGAGCCTTGGAGCGATTCCTGGAAGGAAAATCTGGCAGACAGCAGTGATTTAAGGAGTGACCCCTTGGAGAAAATCTGCAGGAGTTACATGGAAGATTTAAAATTAGTCTGCTTTCACAGGTACTGAAACAGATCTAGTGTCTGGGGGGTAAAGGGAAGATTAGTCTTAGTTGGCAACAGTTTGTTTCAGGAGCCATTAGACTGATTCAGAGTGTCTTTCTCCTTTCAGGTGTTGATATGAGAATAAAATTAGTATTGAGCAAGGTTTTGTTCAAATTTCACTTTACTTTTGCATGCAAGCAAACATACTGTATCTGCATTCACAAGGAAAAAGCATCTGAAAGTGAGATAACCTTGCTTAGATAAGTGTCCTTTCTTGACTGTTTGCTGTGTCTATGCTAGCTCCTGGAGGGACACTGCTGATAAGAGAGGTTCCAGGCGTGTGAGCTGAGACTTGTTTCTTTAAGGCAGTATTAGCGATTAGTGTTGAAAAAGTCCAGCTGAGATATTACTGACAAGTCATGGTATTAACTAATGATGTATCCCTGACGCCTTTGTGTTTTTGCTCCACTTGTTCAATTTCTTTACTTTCATGTTTAGAGAACTTAACACAAAAACGCCTCTAAAGTTCGTGCACACGGCCTTTCACGGAGTGGGACACGAGTACGTCCAGCAGGCGTTCCGAGTGTTCGGCTTCCTCCCGCCTCTTCCTGTCCCGGAGCAGAAAGATCCCGATCCAGAGTTCTCCACCGTCCGCAGTCCCAATCCTGAGGAAGGAGAGTCAGTCTTGGTGAGGAAGGGCTGTTTTGGAATAGGTGTTATATCTCTCCCCTGCTCTGGACTTTCACAGCTCCTGTGTTTGAGCAACAAATCTTAGCAGTGTGATCTGCTAATGAAGAGGAGTCTACCAGGTGTTCACATCATCTTTCCCATTGGCTTAGCAAAATAATTAAACCTTCTGCTTGTTGTCTAAACGTTTCCTGCAAATCTTACTCTTCCTAGGAGCTTTCCCTTCGACTGGCAGAGAAAGAGGGTGCCAGGGTAGTTGTGGCCACAGACCCTGATGCTGATCGTCTGGCAGTAGCAGAGCAGTATGAGCCGTATGTACAACTTCCTTCCTTTGATTTTTTTTTTATTATTGAACTGCAAGGATCTGTCTGGTGTAATCAGTCTTGATCTCATACCTGCACTCATGCCTAAGACATTGTGGAATGAATCTGTATAGGAATTCTGCCCTTTTTCTGTTCTGGAGGTTTGACATCACTGTGTTGTTAGCAACCTAAGGCTTCGCTGTTTATGGACGATTAACCATGAGGTTTGTACATCAGCAGTGCCAAGCCGTTCACCACGCTGGTATAACCCAACCCATGTTTACAGCTGTAAACTTTAATTTGTTTATGTGAATAAATCGGGCAGATAAAAGCAGGTAGCAGAGCTGTTGTTTGACTCTGGCTGTGGCTCGGTTAGATGAATTTGTGATATTCTCAGACAGCTGTGCTGTATATGTTTATAAATATGCTAAATCCTGCGGTTAGATGTATGTTCTGTGCTTGTCTTGACATCTGTGATTGCAAAAGAGGGTCGAACAGGGCTGTACTTGAATTAGAAAAAACCCTAGAAAATGATTGTGCTAAGAGTATAGCAGAAGGTACATTTGTATCAGTCCTTCCATAATTACAAACTCATAATTAGAGCTGAGCTCAAACTTCTTTCTCCCCTGCGCTGCAGTGCTGTGTGTGTCCCCTGCTGCTTTGCTTCCTTCATGTTAGGATGGCCTCCTCTCTTGTCTAAGCACCCCTGACCCAGGGGAGAAATTAAGGTTAAAATCTAGAGCAAGTAAAAAGTTTTTATTTTGGAAAATGAGGCGCAGTAATTCTGCATAGTTATTGTTTATTGATTTTCTTTTCCCGTGTAGCTGCTATTTCAAGGTTGACTTGTTTAGTCAAACTCGAGACCGTAACCCGGCTCGTTTAAAACTGCGTTGCCTGTTGAGAAATGAGAGGGAGAAGCATCAAGGCACCTGATTTCAGCTTTGATTGGAAAGCAGTGGGTGCATCCTGCACATTGTCTCCCCCCCCCCAATCTTTCAGTCTGAGTCCTGTGAATTAATTTTCCTGTTTCTGCTCTTGCTCTGTCTGCTCTTCTGTGTTGGGAAAGGGAACATGGTGAGAGCGGGACGTGTCCTGCATGCTGTCCTTTATTTTCTTCTGTCCTTTTCGTCTCTCCTGTGGTGCAGTGGCCGCTGGAAGGTGTTCACTGGGAACGAGATGGCTGCTCTGCTGGGCTGGTGGCTGTTCTGGAACTGGAGGGAGAAGCACGCGGACATGGCGGACTTGGACAGAGTCTACATGCTGGCCACCACAGTCTCCTCCAAGATCCTGAGGACCATCGCCCGGAGGGAGGGCTTTCACTTTGAGGTACGGGAGGTGGTCGCTCTTTGGTGGAGGCACATTTCAGAAAAAATGAGTGAAGAAAAAAAACAAACAACCAAAAATGCTTTGGGTTGATAAATGCTGACACTTTAGTTAGATTGTTTTATCAATTTCATGGTGAATTCACAGCTTGCTGTATGCAGTGGCATCAGTCTCTTTGAGTTTAAAGAGAAAGACTGCGCAGTTCCATTTTAACATCACCTCATGGATAAGTCATTTGCTTATGCAAGACCAGTGAGAGGTTGTTATGCGCTCCCGTTTCCTCTCTCAGTGTGTGTTAATTCACTGTCCCCCAGGAAACTTTGCCAGGCTTCAAATGGATTGGAAACAGAGTGAAAGAGTTAATGGACAAAGGGAACGAGGTGCTGTTTGCGTTTGAAGAGTCCATTGGTATGTATGGTTTCCGAATGGCTGGGAACACCTGTAGTCAACACCATTGTTCATCTGAGCACGTACTTTCCATTTCACATGACCTGGGAGGCACAGCGCATTTCAAATTTAACGTGGCTCGTGAGCTTACCTTTCTTCTTCCATGAAATTGACTGTTTTTGGGGCTGTTTTTGATTCCTCGCTTGGAGAGTCTGCAAATGAGACCCGTGGCCACTAATGGACAATGATAGTGGTACGCTGCGGTGAACCATTAAGAAAAACTACTGTGAAAAACAGCGGCAATAGCAGTAAATGGATGAGAAAGCCATGCGGAAAATGTAAAATTACAAACTGTTGGAGGTCTTTGGAGATGTACAATACAGTCGCCATCCTTTTTAAACGCATGTTGTAGCTATTGTCAATTGATGTATTTAAGCCTGTTGCTGCCTGAAAGAGAGCTAATCATAATTAGATTTCACTGCTAGACATCAGGACCTTTGAGACCACTCTTCTTTCCTCGTCAGACTTTTTTTCTGGTTCTTCCTTCGCCCGCAGGCTTCATGTGCGGGACCTCGGTCCTAGACAAGGATGGGGTGAGTGCGGCTGTAGTTGTGGCAGAAATGGCCGCTTACTTGGAGACCAGGAACTTCACCATGACTCAGCAGCTGGCGCATATATATGAAGTGTGAGTCTCCCCCTCCCCCCCCCGTTGACTGGACCAACTTGACCAGAAAAATGGAAACGTGGTGTTTTTGATTAAATAGTGGACCCGCCAGTGACCTGACTTACCTGAAACTAGGTGACTGGTCTTGTGAAACTTCTAGAGGGAGAAATTTCTAGAGGGAAGAGCAGGCGAGGATGTGAATAATGTTTTGCAGAAAGGTCACCATACCTGTACCGATTGTCATATGTACTGTATATGAAATGTCTGTATATTGATAATTCTTTACACTTACAGTATATAGAGCTTTTCTGGACACTCCACTCAAAGTGCTTTACAGGTATTACAGGTAATAGGGACTCCCCCCCCCTCCACAAATGTGTATATCCAATATTGTACAGGAGAAACTGCAGTTTCATGACCATGTCGGGATGTTCTAAATGCAGCTTCAGTTCCAGGTTGTTGATGTTTTTAAGTAGGTGCCAGTGCATCTGATTTTTTCATTAAGCCTTTTATGCAACAATGTGGCTTTGTGAAAAGCTTTGGCTTGAGAATATAAATAGGTCAGTCACGCTACACATTGGTGGCAGCCTGAGATCTGTGTGATGTCAATAACGGAATATGGCAGTATTGCCACAGTTGCACACTGACAGTATTCATGCATCAGTGGCGTAAAAATAGAAATGTGCCTCCCCCTTTCGTCCAAGTAGACCACTAGTCCCAGCTTTCAGGCGCTAAGCAATGGGTCAGATTCCAAAGGTCGGAAAAGACCACGAGTATATTCACCAATACTCGGCTTTGCTTTCGCACAAGGGCAACCTGCTTAGAATTGGCCTTATACGACAGTCTCGGGGAATGCTGTATTTGGCATGGCCCTACATTGCAGTATGCTAAAGGAATAAAGTCTTCTCTGACTGAATAACTGCCAGCGTGCTGCGCGGTGCTCCAGCTGTGCAGGCATCCTGTCCCAGGCCTTCCGCCGGTGATGACCTCTCACTGGTGCTGTCCTTCAGGTACGGGCTGCACATCTCCGAGACGTCCTATTTGATCTGCCACGACCCTCCGACGGTCAACAGGATATTCGCCCGTCTTCGCAACTTCGGCGGCGAGGTGCGGTACCCGTTGTCGTGCGGAGAGCACAGCATCACGCACATCAGGGACGTCACCACGGGCTACGACAGCAGCCAGCGCAGCGGGAAGAGTGTAGGTGCCTCTCGGCCGGAACGTCAACCCCTCGGGGGAGAGGCCCCCCGAGACGGTCCCTTTCCTCCTCCTCCTCCTCCTCTTCCTCCTCCTCCTCCTCGGCCGCGGGGGGTTCATGTTGTCGGATGTCTGATGGCAGAGCTGAGTCTGGAGCAGAGAGTCGTAATTCAAATAACCGAGGTGTCCTTGATGCGTGCTTGACAAGTAATGTCTCGGTTACAGATGTGTGATGAATTCTAAAGTTTAGATAGTAGTACGTAGTTATAAAGGACTAACTCCCATGTCCGAAATGCCTGAAAAACCAGTACTTCCTAATTCCTGCTTGTTGTGTTCTGGCACAGGTTCTTCCCATTGCTAAAAACAGCCAGATGGTCACCTTCACTTTCCAGAATGGGAGCGTGGCGACTCTGAGGACAAGTGGCACAGAGCCCAAGATCAAATACTATGCGGAGCTGTGTGCCGCTCCAGGAAAGAGGTTTGTGCTGGGACGTCGTGTGCTGTATGGAGTTTGACTCGTGTCCCATTGAGGTATTTAGGTACAGGGCTGCTGCAGAGGCACAGAAACGTCTTCCCTTGGTTTTTCCTCTGATGGGGTGCCATGATATGAAGATTTTCTGCAGTAATCACAATAATCTCCAGTCTTCAGTCATTTTTAGTCCGTTGCTTAACCTTGGCCTCCTACACTGTCCACTGCCTCGAAATGAGAGAAATGCTTTATTTCATCCATATCGGCGCTTTCTAAATTTCCTGCTTCTCACAGGTGGGATTGTCCGATTGCTAAGCCGTATCCATAAATCAACCAGCAGATTTTTTTTCTTGTTATTATGTATATTATTACTTTCTGCTGGCAGAGGCCATGACTGATTTACCATATTTTCTGACTTTCAGCTTTTCAGGTGTACCGTTTTAGCCGTTTCTCAATGGTACTGAGAGAATTGAAAAGAGTTATTATGCCCAAGGCTTTCCTGTCCCTGCTCATGTTTGTGTTATTTATTTTTAAACTGGTGTACATGAGCACCGAGCTCATCGAAGGAGTTGAGAAATGCAAGCTGTTCAGGACATTACTTATTCATGACTCTGCATCAAATACATGTTTGAAAGCATTAATCTTTGTCTGAAAAACAGTTCCTGAATATGGGACTGTGTTGTTCAGGAAATAACATGTTTGTGTAAGTATAAGCGTTTGTTCAAGAGTGCACCAAAAGACTATAGTGAAATAGTTACCACTGCTAAAAACAAAATGAGAACTTAAAATGGCTACAAGCAGCAGGAGACCACTGGAAGTAACGCAATAAGAATATAACAAACCATAAGAATAGTCATATTTCACGCCTCATTGAAGGTGCTTCCTCATTAGGTGAGGATCAGTAAAAGAGTGCTTGTTGTGTTGCTGCTGTTGGACAGATCAGTAATTCTTCATACTTCACAGTTTGATCAGTGAGTAGTGTCTCAGTATTCACTTTTGGGGCCCTTATCAATAAATAAAGAAATTCTTTTTCTCGCCTTCTGCAGTGACCTTTCCAGCATGAGGGAGGAGCTCCGGAAGCTGACCGCCGCTCTGGTTGAGGACTTCCTGGAGCCGGACAGGAACAACCTCACGCGACGCTCCTCCAGAGAGAGTGAAAAACTACTCTAGTATTAAAATATTCAGCGGAATGGTCACTGCATTGCACTGCCTAAAAAAAAAAGTTTAAGGGAAATGTCCTGGGGGTTTATGTTTTTTTACTTGTTATGATGTTGACTGCGTTATTGAGACACTTTGTTCCAGTTTAATTACTTTGACCTGCATCTCTGTCTTGCTTGCTGGATTGCGTTCTGCCAGACAGATGAGCAGTCTAAGCCTTCCTGAGGCTCGATGCCAGATGGTTGTATTGTTTTGTTCTTCAACCATTATAGAACACCAGGGTTCAGTTTCATGAACCACGTTCTGGTTCTGCGTTTCTTAAAACCCCAGCAGAATAAACTTGCAAACCTTTCTTTCATGTAGATGTTGTTTTACTAAAACTGCCTGTTAACGTACAAAAAGCACCTTGTGAAATGTCACTGTGGCCACTGGGTTCTCCTTATTTACCGGGACAGTTCTCTTAAATATGTGCGTGTGACTGGGGGAGCTGGGGATGGTGAAGGCTGTGTCTGAGGGTGTTAGTGCAGGCTCTCTGCTGACAATCTGCTCTGCTGGTCACTCCCCATGAGTGCGAAACAGTGACATGCCACCTTCTACCAGTGGTGTTCTCCTGTACTAAAGCTGCTGTTCAATCGTGCAAATAAGTAAATGTGCTGTGTTTGACTGCAGTTCAGCTCAAACTGAACAGAAAATGCTTCCAAGTGTTTGGTGTCCCGTCTTGGATGTGTGTTTCTGTGCTAAAACAAACGCATCCCTGTAGCTCAAAGTGGGGATATTGTAGGGCTGTGCAGAGCATGGATATTTCAGCCTGTCTTTTACATGGCATCAAAGCAAATGATTTAACATCCCTACTTTGGGAGCCTTTCATACTTTCATACGTCATAGGCGCTTGCTTTTGGACTCCCCTCCCCAGCTACTTAAATAACATGTGCTCCCTACCTTCAAGCCATCACATATCTTATATGCCCGATTATTCACGACTGCTTTAGTTTGTACCTGAGCACACAGACCGCATGGGTCTGCCTTCATATTCATGTTTGTAAACAGAACATTTTGAAAAGGTAGCTTGTAGGTGAACTCGCAAGACGCTTAGTGCTACCTTTGAACAGACTCTCCGTTTCTTTTACACAGCAGTCTGACAATCAGAAGATTAACCTTGTCTGTCACCTGTGCTAAAGACTGCACACTCGTGTCTTATCTCAAGAGTTCAGAATTGTCTACTTCAGTTACAGCAGAATTAACTGCAACAAGTACCGGTCTTTGAGTGACAAATACAAGTCTTGGCAGGATAAAGGGGACGATGGCCTCTTGATTGACCTGTTCAGGTCTCTTGCTTGTCTATTTATAACCCAGGCAGCAGTGTAAGGTTACAGTTTATGCTTGTGTGATGAGTAACACAGCGGCAGTGTCCTTTTCCCTTGCACTAGGGAAATGCATTTGACTTAAGGATCCAACTTTACTGTCACTTTATTTTCACCAGTGACCAGTGACGTCTCCATGATAAGTAAATGGTGACTTGTGGTGAAAGCTAAGAGCAGGATGGCTTTGGTCACATTTTATTTCAGTACCAGATGTGCCAGCTTTTATTCCTTATAGACCTGGCAACATCCACATCTGCATTTTTAATAGTCTATAAATGGTTTTCCTGCACTGAAATTTACATTAAGTGCTCCAGTTGAGTGCTAAACTCTTGCGGTGAAATTATGCCCACGCCTGCGTAACGTTACTGAATCACCTCAGCTGTATGCAAAAAAAGCAAGCAGATTCTGATGCTTGGAGAGCTCAATGTGTGATCTAGCTAAAAGATGTTTACCTCCTGAGTAAAATGTAACCGCTGTGTTTGCTTATTAGAAACAGTAGGTGCTACAAACAAATCCAGATGCAGTCAAGGCTTAGGAGATCAAAAGATGTCTCTGAATAGCAAAAAGCAGAAAACAAGATACAAATGACAAAACATGAGACAAAAGGCGCTGGTTGTGTATCTTGTACACTTTTGAAATATATGGGCTCTTGCTCAAAGGGGTTGTGAACACCAGCAGCAGGAAAAATGAAAAGTGCTGCTTTTGATGTTCTGCACACTGATGCAGAGTACCCTCACAATAAAAAGATAAGGGAAAAGGAAATTGTCTTTATACTGCATTGCTATATATGCTGTTAATACCTGTGTAAGCCTGGTATTGATGTACACTGCTTCATTTTTATTAAGCTGCTGCAAAGCTTTAGCCCTCCCTGTGTGCATGAGTGTTTTTCTCCACCAGGAGGTGCAGCTGAGAGCCTGTGTGTTCCTAATAACTGCACAATTCGCTTTGGGTAGGGATCCGACAGTAGAGAAGGAAATGAAACTGATTGCTTTAGAGTCTTCAGCTCTAAAGCTATTAAAGGGTCATGAAGAGTGATGCAGCAATTAAATTGCAAT